GAAAAAAACATAAACCAACCGCTACCTAAACACACAATCCCATCACCATCTCACAACACTTCTCTGAACACACTCACTCTCCCAACAGGGAGCTTACCTAACACTCCCAATCTTACACGGGAAAAGACTCGAATACACCAAAACCTGCATACCTCTACTCGTGAAAATCTACGAAGACACACACACACACAATCACACACACACACACATATATATTTACGTAACCACAATAATGGTTGTATAGAATAGATATGTACACAAAAGGAAAGGAAGAACAATGAAAACAACTTGTACTTATGAGTTATATTGATAACGGAGCACTGTAAAGATCGAAATGGTGATGCAAATTGAAGAAAACTGTTTAATTAAAAACTATTTAAAAAAAATAAAAAATGCCGCTGAGGCAACCAAAACGTAAATGACAAATTTTAAAAAAAATGGCTTTTACCGTAACAAGAATCGGTGACCGAACAAGACGCAGCAAAATCCAGCTGAAGGAAAGAGTCCTCGTTTATGGCGATGTCGGTGGTGACCACGTAGCGAGTGCTGGCCTTCTCAATGAAGACCAAAGCGTCCCCCGAGGAGCCACAGACGGGCATTTTGGTTCCCCCCGGGTGGAGGAGCCATTTCTTGCTGTCCAAGGTGCTGAAATCATCTTCCAGGACTGTGTTGCCGGAAATATTCCCGCCAATGAGGATCTGGAATACAGAGACAAACAATGACGTAATTTCCCTGTGAGGAAGTTGAATTGAAAGCTCTGTGGGGATTCTCAATCACCCCTGGTCACGGCTGTCCCAAAGGCGCTTTCCCAAAAGACAACTGGACTTTGCTTTCCCTTGAAAACGTTTTACTTCTCACCCAAGAAGCTTCTTCGGTTCTTCTTCAGTGAACTGAAGAAGCTTCTTGGATGAGAAGTGAAACATTTCCAAGGATTAAAAAAAACCCTCCAAGAAAGTCCAGCTGGCCTTTGGGTTTAATTGAAATATATATTTTTTTCACCATACCAGAGTGATCGCTGACTCACCCGATTACTAGGTTTTCGTATTTTGTGTCTGCTGTTTAACGAAAGCACACCGAATGAAAATCCAGGCAGTCCTTGACTGAGGACCATATTGAGCTCAAAATTCTACTCAATAGTAGTAACTGTGAGACGGATCTTGGAGTCCTAGTGGACAACCATTTAAATAGGAGCCAACTGTGTGCCAAAAAAGCCAACACAGTTCTAGGCTGCGTAAACAGAGGGGTAGAATCAAGATTACGTGAAGTGTTAATACCACTTTATAATGCCTTGGTAAGGCCACACCTGGAATACGGCATTCAGTTTTGGTTGCCACGATGTAGAAAAGATNATTCTATTCTATTCTATTCTATCCCATCCCATCCCATCCCATATTCTATTCTATTCTATTCTATTCTATTCCTCTACTCTACTCTACTCTACTCCACTCCATTCACTGTTGTAAGTCAAGGACTACCTGTATATACACAGAAAGGCAAATAAGCTCAGATGACCTTCTCATAAGTGGCGTAATTCTCATGGATAAGATTTCTGACAGATGAACAGCGCTAGAATGAATTGGAACTTTAAAAGGAAGAGTCAGGATTGCATTTGGGCTGGGAGTTAATTTCCCCTTTCCATTGGAATGGCTTCGTTACTTATAAGTAAATAGCTATCTGCTTCATTCATTTTCTTTAAGGGTCATTCCCATTGTTACACTGAATACGGGGTGTGAGCTTAATAGATATACGCGATCCCATTCCACTCTTGTCAAATTTAAACCCACTGCACGCCAATATAATTTATAGAAGTGCAAAGAAAATGTTAAGATAGTATTTTGGTCTCTGGAGTTAGAGACATTGTAATTATTTAGAGCGTGGCACCCTATAAGATGAGGAACTATGAGAAATCAAAGCCAGGATGGGAGATTTATGTGAGGAATGTCCAGTTCTTTTCTCCTAGGTATGAATTACTCAGAACAGCAAATATATCCGTGAATAATATATCTGTTTTATAGCCATGAAAATTACAGCTAATCTCTGACTTATAACCACGAGTCAGATGAGAAGTACAGTTGTCAGTCATTGTGGTCGTAAGTCGAGGCACCTATGTGACTGAAAGTTACAAGCCACCAAATTTTGATCTTGTGAGTATGGGGATGCTGAAGGGTCAGAGGTCACCTTTTTCAGTGGCATCGTAGCTTTGAACAGCCACTAAATGAATGCTTGTTACCTGTATTAAAAAATGCTGCTGAACGGCCAGAATCATTTATGTGCAAAACTGGAAAAATGATAGCATTTCCTCCGATGGAATGGTGATCAAAAAAAGTGCTAGAATGTGCGGAGATGGATAGGCTAACAATGGTAATAAAAGAAAAAGGGGAAACGGAATATTATTTGATTTGGGACACATGGTATAATTGCTTAGAGAATAAAAGCAAAGAATAAGAATGTAAAAGTAAATTAATAAAAGAAAAAGGGGAAACAGAATATTATTTGATTTGGGACACATGGTATAATTGCTTAGAGAATAAAAGCAAAGAATAAGAATGTAAAAGTACATTAAGAAAAGAAAAAGGGGAAACAGAATATTATTTGATTTGGGACACATGGTATAATTGCTTAGAGAATAAAAGCAAAGAATAAGAATGTAAAAGTAAATTAATAAAAGAAAAAGGGGAAACAGAATATTATTTGATTTGGGACACATGGTATAATTGCTTAGAGAATAAAAGCAAAGAATAAGAATGTAAAAGTAAATTAATAAAAGAAAAAGGGGAAACAGAATATTATTTGATTTGGGACACATGGTATAATTGCTTAGAGAATAAAAGCAAAGAATAAGAATGTAAAAGTAAATTAATAAAAGAAAAAGGGGAAACAGAATATTATTTGATTTGGGACACATGGTATAATTGCTTA